ATCTGTGTGTTTTCTTGGGAGGAGCGAGCGTTGAAGGAGGGAAACTGTGTGTGACTATGTTTTGAGAGCATGTACTCGGAAGTAAATACATAAGATCATGTTTCGGTAAGAATTAATAAATAATTTATGGGTTAATCCTTTCAAAAAAGCTACGTGTACAATGATTAGTGTGTTGTAAGTGTTGTCAACCACTAATCATTGTACACATAGCATTATTTTTAAAAATTCTCACTATGTGGTCCCCACCCCCATTGTGAGTAGTATGTAAAAAATTCGATAAAAAAATTCGGTACATGTACCATAATCCATAATTTATTTAGCCCCTACTTGCAACCATTACAGAGTTTGAATAGTGGTTTTTAGAAAAGATTGACAAATAAAAAATATGAAAATTTTTGAAATTACGTATAAAATATTTTATCGCGGGAGCGTGTGATTAAAAATTAAACATGTTGGAAAAAAAATTGAAAATAATTGTTGGGCTTATAACTTATAAGAATGTTTACTTATAAGCAAACTTATTCTTTAGTCCATGTTTGACACACATTCTCTAAAAATACATTTTTTCAAATGGAACAATAAGTAAATCAGGTATTTACTTTCACCCTTTTCAAAAATACAGAAACAAGTTTCAAATTTCAAAAATCAGTTTTCTTTAAATTTTTATTTATGAAATAATAATTATTAAATCAATTTAGCCCCTGTTTGACGCACATTGTGTTTTTCATTCTCATTATTCTACTCATTTTCAACCACACATTTTTCAATAAAATAATATTTTCCATCACATCAATAATTTTTCCTTCATTTTCAACCACATATCCCCCATCACATCACTTCAAAAAAATGCATTCTCTCATTTTAATGTGCACCAAACAGACTCTTAATAATATAATTAACTCATCCCCACCTCCACCACCCCTACAACTCCGGTGATTATTCTGACGACCTTTTCGATCACCACTCTACTCCGGCAACTGCTCCCATTCAGACGACTATTTCGATGACCGTTCCGCCCCCGCTTTATTCCCGTGACTTCTCCGATTCCGACAATTGTTCCAACTCCAGCGAAATTTTTTAGGTCACAATTCAAAATTTTCATAGGTAATAATTTGTTCATCGGTCACAGGTCACAAAATTTATATTGTGACCATCGAACTTTATGGTCATAGATTATTTCTCCACCACGAATTAAAATTTTTTATAAGCCACAGATTGAAAAAATCAATTTTTTTGTTGGACACAGCTCTATTACAGTAAGTCACAGTCACAATTTCAAGGTCACAGATACCCACTCTCAACTCATCTTATATTGTTTACTGATCACAAACTACGCAAATTCTTGGTCACAAACAACCTAATCATTTGTGACCACCCCAAATCATTTGTGACCCCACTTCTTCACTTCCTCCATCAGCGGCACGACCACCGTCGCCACCCAATAGCCAAACTACAGCAAATAGACTACTAACACCACTACCAACACCACAAAAACAAAGAACCACTGACGCCACTACCAACAACAACAATAACCAGAGACTCAGCACCAAAATGGAAAGTATTAGTGGGCGATTTCGACCATCCCAAAAATGCCAACTACACCAAAACACGAAACAACAACAAAATCGCCACCAGATCCGCCATGGCCAACAACAAAAATTGGCCTTAAATCTCTCAAACCTCAACTAGCACAACGTATACCTCAGCAGCAGCGCACTCACACAGGAAATCACAGACGACCAGAACAGAAAAAAAAGGACCCGCACGCATGCACAAACACGGATCTGCACGTACCACCGCCGCAAGCACGCTCATCCACCACCTGTTACCAACGTCAGTCCATCATGAGCAACAGAAGATAGTGGATAGACGATGATGTGTGGAGGCGGCCATGGGTGGAGGTGACGATTCGCGCAAAGAGTGGAGAGACGTGAGAGAAGGTAGAAATGGGTTTGCCTCGAAAGCTGAGGGAGAGAGGGGTTGGGGCGACGTTGGGTGGGCTGTGAAGGGTGGACAGTCGATGGGTGCAGAGGGTGGAGAGACCGTGAGAGGGTAGAAATGGGAGAGAGACGGGCGGTTTCTTCCTATTATATTAGGGTTTGATTAGATATAATTTATATAAAAAAAATGTTTTAAATTTTTAATTAAAACCTGATTTTTGAAATGTTATACTTGTGATCTTATTTATGAAATTGGAAATCTAATTTCAGGTGTAGGTGTAATTTTCTCTTTTTCAAAACTCATTTTCAATCACACGTTCTTCAATGAAATAATATTTTTCATCACATCAATAAATTTTCCTTACTTTTTAACCACATATTTCTCATTATATCACAATTTCAAATACATTATTTCCTCAATAATATACATCAAACACACTCTTAGTGAGTTTGACAGGTTGTAGTGATGAGCAAATTATCCACCCAACAACCTAATCAATTCGATATGATTCCAGTCAACTTTTAGCAATCGGGTGGGTAAGGTCAGCTTTTGCCAACACATTAGGCAAACGGAAAAAAAATCAATAAAATATTTTACATGTAAAATAAAAAAAAATTACTATTTTTTAACTACACACCCTCCAAAAAGTCAATATTCAAAATATCATTTTTACCCTCATTTTTTCTTTATAATGGTTAGGGGTGGACGTGAGTCGGTTCGGTTTGATTTTGTTCGGTTTCAGAAATTTTTGGGTATTTAGTAAATGGAACTGTCGGTTCCAAATATAATT